CAAGGCACTGCCCAGCCCTGCCAACAGCTGGGCAGCCTGGAACAAGAACTGCTCACACCCATGTGGCCATCAGCCCTGCACACTTCAAGGTGGGAATTCAAATTGAAATGATCAAAATTAGTTCAGTGGTTTCTCCCCAGTGAAGCATTTAAATTTTTCTGTAAGACATCACAAGTCTGAGGAAGGAAAGCTGGAGGGTTTTTTCACACACAGATGCTTCTGGGACCTGCCACCCTTCCATGCCACTGCAGCACCAGCAAGGCTCAAGCACCACGAGCTGTCTGCACATGTAACCCTGCTAACCCAAACTGGGCTCTCTCCAGCTCCATGAGAGGAGCAGCAGGGATTTCCTCTCAGCTCCCACACAGCTCTAGACCTTCCCAGAAGCAGGTGAGCTGCCTCCTCTCGTTCATAACTTGCCTCACTCAAGAATGAGTCACACTTCAGGCTTTATTTCTACCTATTGGCACTCTCTGTACAAAGGGACAATTAAATCAGTGGTCACCTGTATGAGGGATTATTATGAAGTACAGCACTGGGACAAGAAGTTAGCTCTGAAATTAGATGGAGCTGACCAACACTGGCTGGCTGGAGGCATAAATAGGACAGTAACAATTGCAGGTTCATCTGTAACTTGAGCTCAGCTGAGCTTCTTGTGATCCACAATTGCCTCTGTTGACTTTCTGTCTCTCTGTCTTCAGGAGTCCTCTTAAAACAAACCCATGACTCCCTCTAAGGTGAGAGAAAACAGAACAGAAAACAGGATTTTGCTCAAGCAATGTCATAGGAGCACTGTGTGGAGGAAAAAAAAAGATATTTTGGTGGCACCAGATTAAAGCCTCTGTATTGGAAAGATGCCCCATGGAGCAGCCACCCCTTTGGAATAAACCTAGGCTTTCATTTCAGGTACTGCAAGACAAGGAGCAATGTCACTGGGCTGCCTGAGCTGCACCAACAGTGACCTGGCACAGCAAGGAGTGGCCAGAGCCACCCCTCCCAGTTTTGGGGACACAGCACAAGGGCAGAATGCAGCTTGCACTGGAAAAGGACTCCTGCCACCAAGAACAATGGCAAAGAACACGTCAAGCTACTGTCACACTCAGGACTCTGCCTTCTCGGGACTAAATAACTGGAATTGTGGAAATTTTGTTTCTTTTGTGTGCCACAACCCTAAAATGGCTCAGGACTGAGAGCCCAGCTGCTCCACGAATGACAAAAGCTTTTTTACTTTTAACTGCAAGTGAAGCACAGCAAATCCCAGATAGAATGGAAAGGACAAAAACAAAATTAAGTGGAAATATCATTTAATTATATGTCCAGGTCCTCCACTGACTGGCTGTTTCAATTTTATCACAAGATTTTGAGGCTGTTACAGGAGCACCAAAATCTGCTCACTCACAAGACAGGCAGCCCAGGTTTCATCTTTAAGAGGATGGTACATTCATCTACAACAAATGACCCCTTTAATTGCAAGGTCACCATAGTGGACCAGAGACAAAATTCTTGATGGGACAAATTTTGGAGACTTTGCTGATCTACACCTGACAGTCCTGTAACCCATGAATAAGATTTCCCTAAGCTTTGGTGAGGAAGATGGTAATTTAGTGAGTAAATGCTTTCTCCTGCCACAGTGGAAAGCACTGGCAGCTCCCTTAGCCCTGGCACATGAGAGGCACCCACCACAACCTGGTGCTTCAGGAGAGACCCACAGTGCAAAACAAAAAAGATCTGGAATGCCAGCCAGCCCTTCTTGAGAGGGTATTTACAAGGCCTGCAGCTTTCTCTTATGGCTTTTCATTACAATACTTCATTTATATATTTCAGATTCTCCTGTTGAGAATATAGATAAGCTTCTAACATTACATTTTCTATAAAACAGTCCCAATACAAAGCTAGTGACAAATGCTGGCATCAGAAGCCTGCAGTAATGGCATTCTGTCAGGGTTTTGTAGAGCAATGAACACAGAGTAAAACAAAAGTATTTTCCTAACTTGTAAATTTATTTCTGGAACCCTTAAAATATGAAATTAAAGTTCCTTCTGTGAGTATGCAGAAGCCCTATGTCTTGATAATTGTATATACAAGAAAGGCTTAAGACTGTAATACAACATTTGGTTTCAGTCCACATTAGTTCTAGTGCTTGATTTATTCCTTGCAATAAACAGATTAAAGCTTATTACCATTGATAAAGTCGATCTTGTAAACCCCAGGGTGCTGCTTTGAAAATTTCCATGGTGAAATTTGGCAGTTATGGAATGTAATGTGGTAACACTGTGGTGATGTGGCAGTGATGCCCATGCCTCATTTCCACAATTTCTGATTCTGACCCCACAACTATGAACAAAGCTGTAACCTTACAGTTCAGAGAGGGACAAAACCTCCCAGAAAACATAATACCCACAAAATATGACACAAAAAACATACTTCACTTTTTTGTCTTCTCACAGCTGAACATTTCATTAAAAAGCCAAATGTTCAAAGATACAGACCACTGAGTTTAACTTCAATACAAGAAGAGTTGATAGAAGATATAATAAAGAATTGAACAAGTGGGTGCATGATAGACCTGGAAAGAGTCAGATATTTTACAGAGAGCAGTCATGCACAACAATCTGTCAGAATTCCCTGAAGGAGTTAACAAGCATGTGAATGAGGGGACATGGTCAGCAGGGACATGCAGGTGGCTGATGCAGTACATGGGGCTTTTCCCAAACCCTTCAGCAAACAGACTCAAGGAATCTTTAAAGAGCCTTTAAAAAGGTAGGCTATGGTGGGAGAGAAAACAAAGGTATCTTATGGATCATCAACTGAAAAAAAAAAAAAAAAGGAGATAAAGCAAATAATAAATCATTTGTCACACCGATGAGAGTCTGTTAACACATCATCTCAGTATCTCTGCTAAGACCTGTACTGGTCCAAATACCTGTTACTGGTCTGAGAAGGGGGCAGAGAGGCAATGAAATGCCAAACTGAAAAGACAGAACAATTAGGAGTATGCAAAATTACAACTGATGTGAAAGCTGCAGAAGAGTCTCAAGACACTGTGATTGGACAGCAAAATGACAGCATAAATTAAATGCTAATAAATGCAAAATATTGCATTGAAATAAAGGAGTATTACTGTCCACATAGACTGACAGGCTCTGAATTAGCTGTTCTAATGCAGAAAAGAGATGTAGTCACTACAGACAGCTTTCTGGAAACATCACCTCATGAGCAACCCAAAAATAATAAGCAAATAATTTTGGAACGTCTAAGGAAATATATCAAGGCTGAAATACAAAATACCATGTCAGAAACTCATGATTTATCTGCATTTTAGAAATGCATCTATTTCTACTTATGTCATCTTTAAAAGAAAACATATGAAGACATCATACGATGTGATGGATCAAAAGACCAAAATTATTTCTGCTTCACTTTGCTGAGAATGCATCAGAAGTAGGAGTACATTGGGACTCTACAGCTTGAAGAAGAGCCAACACACAATCAGGTGTGATCCATACCACACACAGGACGCTGGGCTACATGACCTTCTGTCTGACCACCTGCATTGTTCTTATTTTCTTGCGAGGTAGAACACACAGAAAGGACAATTTCTGCTTCCCTGTGAAGTGTTGGCAGGGTGAGCCAGAGCATGTTTAGATAAACTGTATTAATTGGGCTGTGATCTGCAAGAGACTTCTCTCATTTCCACCTGCCCTGGAAGCAAAGATATTTAATAAGACGTTGACCATTCAGCTCACAATGTGCTATAAAATTTTACCTTTGGTCTTATTAGGGTAACAAATGGGAAATATCATACAAGGCTTGAAATTATGGAGTAGATTAGACTCAAATTGCTTCATAAGTTAGAGAAGAAAAAACACCCTCCAGAGCAATCTCCTATCCCAAAAAGGACAGATTCAAGCTAGCTGAACATTTTATTTTCTATGAAAACCTGCACATTCTGTTTTTTGCCTTCACAAAAAAAATAACGTTTTTGTATAAAGAGTATACATAATCACAGTACTGAACACCTAAAATACCAGATAATAGGCTCAGGTGGGGTTGGAGCACCCCAGATCCATTAGCCAATATATGCTGTTGTAACCCAAATATTCAGGTCCTAACTATATGAAAAGCCAAATTCAAGATCAGAAGCTTCCCATAAGTGAAGGAAAATAGAAGTGCCAAAAAAGAAGTATTTTGATCCCTGTAAGAACATTCTTGCTTAGCACAAGAAGACCAAGGGGTTTGTGCCATTAATGATAGAACAGCCTTTTCCCACCTGGAAATCAAATCTTATTTTCCTGGACAAACAACAGGCAAGGATGGAGCCAGTCACATGAAGCAGCTCCTCTGTTACACCAGCAACACATTGATATCTAGACCCTATCCCTAAAAGCATAATTTCCACCCCCACCATAACTTTTCACACCATGTTCATGAATAACTACCAACAGCCCAGGATGTAAAATTTGCAGAAATCATTTTTGACTTAGTTTTTTAATCTCCCCACAGCTGTTAATGCCTCTTCCTCTCTGTGAGCCAAAAATACAATTGAATGACAAAAATCCTGGCTTGCTGGACATTCTGATGATAAGAAAATTCCTACATAGAAACTACAAATTCACAAAATCATGTAAGAAACATTTCTGCTGTTTACAAAATTTCCACGCTTCGTATTATTTTTCAAAAGATTTAACTATATTCCCACAACACCAGTTTAGCCTCACAGGCACTACCCGCCTTCAACCTTTCAGTGAAGGCAGTTCATAACAGTGCTGTTGAAAATAAGAACAATGGAGACATTTAAGTGCACCATTTTTCAATACCTGACTCAACGATAATAACTATAATATCCTCCATGTCAGTAATAAGACAACTGTTAAACATGATACTTAAAATCATTCACCTCTGACTCTTTCAGGAAATACCTGTTTCCAGAAAACTTCATTACTGTAACACTCAGGAATCAGTGTGTAGGTGCTTTTTCCCTAAACCAATAAAATACCCACCTTCAAGATTACTTTCAAATAGAGAAATTAAGCGTGTAATGGTGTATAACATCAGCCTGTATAAGGGCCACATCTGCTACCAGCCTGGGCAGAGGAATTCAGAAGTACCTGTTGCTCAGAAGGCAGAAATCCACTGCTGAAGCCAGACAGAAAGAAAAGAGAGGGGAAGAAAGAGAAAAATATCTAACTGATTTAGTTTTCAGACAATTCAACTAACACTTCAAATCTTTTAGTCACACCTTCAAAAACCATCATCTGAAGGTAATTAATTCTTGCATGCCTGACTTCACTCTCAGTATTTTTACTGACATGAGTGGCAGGAGGATTGGCCTATTCCCTATTAGCTAACACAAACCAGTAACTGGCTTTTGAATATCTTGTTTAAGTCTAATATCTTCTTTTAAGTATCCATTTCTGGCAGAGCATAAAATAATCAACCTATCAAAGAACTGCAGTTTCATCATTACTCCCCCAAATTAATCATGTTTCAGTACATGCAAGGCAAGCCTTTTGCAGCACACTGGTAAGCAGGAACAGATAAAAGTGGATTTTCCAGTGCCCATATTGAAACAGTAATACAGCTAATGATTTTCTGCAAACCACTAGTGCAAACTCTGTAAAAAAAAACATGCAAAATAATTCAGCTCTCAGGAGCAACATGTAAGCAGAAAACTGAGCTGAACCCTGTGAGGATTATGATTTCTCTGTAGTGTAGTCAGGTTAAGTAAAGTAAATTCTTGATTCTTGAGGCCTATTTTGGCCTCACTTTTTCAAGAAGTCATGTATACTAAAAAATAAAATTTTGATGTTGCAGTATCTGTGAAGTTCATAAGGTAAAACTGCTAAAATTCAGGGTTACTGTTTTACCTGAGCACGACAGTAACAGTGAATTTTATCCTCCTTCAGACAGATAGTACAAGGCAGAAAATCCACTTACATCCCATTTATAGCCATAAAATAAGTTGCAAGGAGAGCGAGGCTGCCCATGCTGCCACCCAAGAAAAACGTTTATGGTTTCTGCATAAACGATTTCGTACTTCAAATATAAACAGAAACATTGGCAGGTTATTTTGTAAATCATGGAAAGGCTCTCAAACCCCAACCCATGGCTATGCATTTTGTACCTGAACAACTTTTCCTTCAGCTGAAGCTCCGCTGCCCAGCTCCACTATCAGATGTCACACTTGCAAAAGCCTAAAAGTCAGAATAAAAGCTGGGGCGTTGCTGCAATGCACAGTTTTGAAAGACTTCAAAAACTTACTGGAGCAAGACAAACTGCTCAAGAGTCTCCCACAGGAAGCCAGGCCAGCAGCAGCCCAACAGCTCCCAGTTAATTAGCTGTTTGCTATGGAGAAAAGAGGCTGTAGAAGTGCCCAGTGCTGCATCCTCATTTGTGCTTCTCTCTGATCCCTACTGCAGCAACTCAGTCCTGAGTGAAGCAGAGCTCATTATCCAGCAGAGACAAACTCTCCTGAGGAGAGAGGTGTTTTTTGGGCTGTTAAACAGCACCAGCTCCATCTGGTCACCCTCTGCCTGCCCTGAGCAGAGCACGAGAAGCCCATGCAGGTAGGGCTGGAATCAGGGATGGAGGCTGGTCTCTGGCAGGGATGGAACATGGACCCTTCTTCATTACTGGTTTGGAAGAAAATGCAAAGTAAACCCAGAACTGGCCTTGGTTGGATTTCCAGCACAGAGGATGGGAAAGCCTTCATCACCTGGTCCTCTGTGGGTGACCAGCACCTCTCAACAATGCCCCTTCTGCTTTCCAAACAGCACATTCCACATTTGCCTGTTAGGCACATTTCCCTGTCTAAAAGAGAGTTAAGACCCTCACCGTCTGTGGGCTCTTGACTCATGCTTTAAGAGAACACATTTATTTAGGAAGTGCCCAGTGCAGTCAGGTCAGACAGACAGAAAGAAAAGGAACAAAGAAAAGAGGGAGGGGGGGAAAAGAGAAAAATATCTAACAGATTTAGTTTGGAGCCTGCTCCACCACAGCTGTCTCTACCAGGGCCAACAGCTTCATCTGCTCCACCTCCTCAGCCCCTCATTCATTTCAGCACTGAAGGAGCACTGAAGAGTACAGCCCCAAAGCTGACCACATCACCCCCAACAGGGAATGAGCCAGGTCTCCACAAAACTCATTTGTTCCATCAAATTGCAAGAACGTCTCATCGGTATTTTTCCCTTTCATGCTTAGCATCCTGCTTTTATCTGGCAGTGTTCTAACAACTGTTTTCTTATCACATTAAACTGACATCTCTGACAAAAAAACAAATGTCTAATTCTCCTGGATCTCCTCACAATATGCTGCAGGGGAGCAAATCTCTACTGAGCAATGCGGTCTATTAGCCTGAGCACAGGTTTTGTTCTTTAAACAAGTATCTTTCCCATCATCAAAAAAGCCCAAACAAACAAAAAACCTCAAAAACCCAAAACAAACAAAAACCCCAAACAAAAATCCAAACAAACAAAACCCAAACAAAAAACCCCAAACAAACAAAACTCCACAACTTTGTCACAATCTCACAAATCTTCTGTTCAAACTTCATCTCCCCCAAAAATAGCAGGCCGGCCCTCCAGCCAGTGGCAGCACTGGCACAGTGCCTAAGAAATAATGGAGCTGCACTGATTTACAACAGTTAAAAATGTGACCTGGAGATGAGTCATGGGCTTTACCTGCTGTTTGAATTGCAACTAATTCAAAGCGTTTGGTTTTGTTTTGTTTATCTCTGGATGTGTTGTAAAGCTTCAGTCCCTAAAGGTCAATTCCAACACTTCTTCAGAAGTATTTAGGAAAGCTTCTGAATATTTAGGAAGTGTTTGGATGTATGAGATTTTTTCAAGCATGCTGCTTCTCGGATATGGACTTATCTTTTCTATCACATTCACCCACTCTGCCATCTGAAATAGTCCAGTAACCTACACATTGAGGCAGCTACTTTTGATTAAGAGGTGAAAAATCACAGCTTAGCTCCAAGCCTCACAACAAGAAGAGAAGAAAAACAAGAAAAATCCAGCAGGGAGGGAGGCTTTGGGACTCTTCTCCCTGCTGCCTGTCAGAGAAACGTGGCACTGGCTGTTTCTGAGTGCCTTCAGCATTATGGTCTCTTCTCCCTCTGCTGAGCAATCCAAGCACTACAGAGAGTGACAGAGCTGCCTGCAGCAAGAGGTTCTTCAGTCGTGTCAGGATTACATAGGAACAAACTTTATTTCTCAGGCTAACAGCAGAAAAAAGCAAGGAACAGGCAGAAAGATGTGCTCAGCCTCCTGCTCCCTCCTTGCCCACGGAGATGTGAACTGAGCCGGGCTGGGGCTGCTGACAGCACGGCTCAACTCCAGGCTGGAGAATCCAGAACCTCAGCTGGTGACTGACCAGGGAAACCCCTGCAGAAGGGAAAAAGCTTTTAATTAAATAGCTTCCCCTTGCTGCCACGCTGCCAAAGAAGAAATGAGATTGTCTATCTGCTCACATGGCTTCCATGTAAGGAAGAGGTGAGGCCACTACAGCAGCATTTCACCTGCTGGGAGGTCACAGCAAATCTTGCTTCATCCCAACAGTGGGCAACACATCCCTGGATGTGATCCCAGCACTGCTCTTCTGCATTCATGGTAATTCTCCAGCACCCAACCTGACAAACCCTGTGGGACCAAGAGGGGAAATAATAGGTATATTACCATAACCCAATATTACCATGCTTACCACTCTGCAATGCATTAGATTCATGGAGCTTTCTGTGCAGCAGCACAATCTTAAAAGCATCATTAATTCAAAAAATAAAAATATCAGAGCTCCAATATCCATATCAGATTCTAGGGTTAAACTGAGTTGCAATCCTGAGATTTTACACAGTTTTCACCTCCGTGAGGAACCACTATCCTTCCTTGCTAAGCAGAACAGATAATCACCCTAGGGCTCCATCTTTAGTGAAAAATAAAATCCCCTATTTCTCAAAGACAAAAGAAGAAAAACAACCCAGTACCAAATCCCTTTTCACTAGCTCTATCCAAATTCACAGCATCTAAAAATATGTCAGAAATCAAGGTGCAAGTGAAGAAAAAAAAAAAAAGAAAAGTCTTAACACCAGAATGGCAAGATTTCAAGCGTGACCCATTGCCTGGTAATGTCAATGGGATCCTTTTGAACCATTTCCAAACAAGTCAGATACAGCTCACCTGACGTGACTTGATACTGAGAGCAGCTGATGGAGGTAGAGAGGAAGAAGGCAAAGAATTCCCAGGGAAAACAGATACAGGAGTCACAGCAGCCCTTGATCAGTGGGTGGGGGAAAACATATTTTTGTTTCTTTTAAACATTTCCCCCAAAAGGAGAAACATAGCAGCCTTCCCATAGGATCCATCTTAAACCCAGGCAAGGGGAGAATGTAAAGAATAGCTAAAACCTAAGCTTTTTCAAGGTTATCTAAGTAGACATTATAATTTTCTTTATGGTTTTTAGTAACCAACTGCCCCCCAAAAAGTCAGTATGTTTTCAAACTACTCCAGGCATATTCAGCAGACATCTGCTATTAAAATCAATAAAAGACAAGCTGTTAGCTGTACATTTTGCTGGAAAAGCTGCAGATGAAACGTAGAAAGCTCCAATGCTTTCAACTCCACATCCAACAATACAAACATTTTCAGTTACCTCATAAATCAAAGTTTGTCATTAGGCTGCACCTAAAGTGCTATCTTGCCCAAACCTCTGGAAAAGCATCGAAGTAGCTGTTGATTTTTTTTTTTTTTTTTTTACAGTCACCCAGGAAACATTTCACAGGTGAGAAGAACCATGGGCTGGTGCAAATCCTCTGTGACTGTTGTAGGGCCAACAGGATCGAGGCATCTGTAAAGTATCTCAGTGTGTGTGTGAGCTTTCACACTGAGATACTTTCCACTCCAAGCACACCTAAGGGACTTGATGTAAACTGATAAGAGAGCCTGGGATTCACACAAATAAAATAAAAGTAGGAGCAGACAATGAAGAAAGTTAATTTTTCACCCAGAGAACCGCCGAGTTACAAGATTGCCCTGGAGGATTTAATCAATGAAAGTGAATCTTGTATATTTTTCTCCAGTATTCCCAAAATAAGTCAATAAGATGCCAGCACTCTCACAGTATAGAGCAACCATTTTCCAGTAAGCTTGAGTTAAAGTCTTTCTCAAAAGAACTACAGAAATGCATTATGATTTCAGAGAAAAATAGTAAGCAAAGAACAGAAACAGCAGGATAACTTCACAAAGCACAATAGGTTTTCAGACAAACTTTTTTACTTCTTTTATTCCTAAGGACAATTAGAAGCAAAAGAAAACTACTTTAAACCAGACACTGCTGGTGCACAAAAATACCTGCAGCTACCCTGGCCTTTAAGAACAGCAAAACATCTGAAAAATACACACCACCATCAGGCAATATCTAAAGGCATTTCCAGATCCAGAACCCCCTCTCTTGTGAGGAAAACACATCTACTTGTCCATCTGCTTCCTCACAAAACCTCCCCGTACACCCAAGCAACTCCTATTGCACCCTCCTAACAACCCCAAGGATCTGCGCAGGAGCGCTGGTCCATACACATCACCCAAAATAAACAGCAGCAGACCACATTACACAGCAAACTCCTATGTAATTATAAACACTTGAATAAATGCCCTGCCTGTCTCAAGGGCTGCACATCAGCTCTCTCTCTTGGTCAAATGACCTGTAGGCAGGGAGCTTTCTCAAGTCCTACATCAATTTACAATCCCACCTTCAGCTGGAGCTTGGATAATCTGTTTCTCTGAGCATTAAAGGAAAAAAAAAAAAAAAAACACCCCACCACAAACAAAAGAACCCACCTCCGTAATTTCCCCTTTGTAATACTCGGCATGCACAAACCAGAAGAGCTGTCACTTCTTCACTTTTAAAAGCTTTCAGCAAAAATAGCTATTCTAAGATACCTGCAAAGCAAAGAGGTGCAACTGAAAAACATCGGGGGAGTACTATCCATGACTCTTCCAAGTGTTGGAAGTTTCCAGAAGGCACAATAAGGATACAGTCAACATCCACAGTGCATTCCAACACTAGAAGGATTTCAAGGACTTCAAGGAGCAAAGACAAAGGTAATTTTTATGTGGCAGGAAGATTATTGCAACAGTTGTGCCTAGGCTAATCAAAGGGTTTGGAAGCAAGGCTCACTCTCTGTATTTCTGAGAGGTGA